GTGATAAAAATTGTGTTAAAAGAGTAAGTAGAGATTAAGCCATGTCATATTTTTTTATAGACATGTTATAATTTTTTCATGACAAGTCATAGTTTTGAGCCAATAAAATTAAAATAAATATTCATTCTAACTAATTGTACTTTTATGAGAAAACAATATTCTATCTAATCCAACGGCAAATATTAAACTCTTGGTAACACGTTTCACCATTTTAGAGCAGAGGTACAAATGGGATGAGTTTTACACGTTTCTTTCTGTTATCTAAGTGACTTATAATCAGATACATAGTGGTACGGTATACGTTAGTAAACCGGGTGTTTATTTGAGATGTATATATATGAAGTTTAGGTTTTATTCTTGGTAACACACGAGTAATAAGAAACCCTATTTTCGTCTCAATCTCTTTTCTTCTTTGCTTTATCGCCTTTGATTCACAACACTTTCTCTTCTCTCTTTTAAAGATTCCGTTAAGTTTAATTTTATCCAGCATATTATTCATCATCCCATTGATTATGCGTATTATTAATTCATTAAGCACGTGACCTGTGAGAGAGACTAACCACAATTATCTATTTGGAACCTAGGTTGCATGGAAACGGAAACGGATACGTGAAAACGAAATGTTTGGAAACGTGGAAACAATTTTTATAAAAAATTTAGAAAATGGATACGTTTTGGAAACGCGCACACATACACATATACATGAATCAACAACATCAAAACCAATATTTAAAACAATTTGAACAACACAAATTATATACATGAATATTAAATAACTTAACCAAAGCAAAAAGTACAATAATTTTGTTGTCTTTAACCTATATACAAACACAATTTTTCATAATTTTGTTGTTTTTAACCTATAAAATTACTAAATAGATCCCTACATTTCTAAACTATTTAATTATTATGTAAGAAACAATTTTTCATCTCATTTTCTAAACGAAATCGAACATTTCCGTCGTATTTCCGATTTGAAATTTCTAAGAAACGAATTTCCGTCGCGTTTCCAAAACGAAATTAAAGTTTCTATCGAGTTTCTAAATTAAAATATTTTAGAAAACGCGTTTCCAAATTAAAATTTATTTGGAAACGCATTTCCATGGAGTTTCCAAAAATTTCGGTTTCCAAAACGGGAAACCTTTCTCGGACGGAGCTTCCATGCAGTTTATCTTGGAACATGTTTTAACACTTAATTGCTTCAAACTAAATATAGATGGTTACAAATAAAACAAGACAAGTCTCTTTACTAGCAAATTGAAATAATTTGATGTTACATATATATTGATTTATTATTTATATCAGTGTCTCTTGCGTAAAATGAATGGGCAATTTGACGTCCCTCTCAACGTACGTTGACATATATGATCCTAATAGACAAAATGCAATTTTGTTTTCAGACTTCAAAATTCAAATCAAGCGTGATACAGTAAGCTTTAACTTCCTGTTGAGATGCATGTCATGAGCCTGATTGTTTTGTTTGCTTTTGTTTATATGTTTAAATATGTTTATTTAGCACACATTTATGTTTAAATATGGTTATTTAGTACACATTTGTTTTTGTGTTTAATTACGTTTGGAGTTTACATTAGTCTGCATTTGTTTGATTGTTTTCTGTATCTGGAAGATAAGTAAAAAAAAATTCTTAGCCGAAGTTTTGACTAATGTTCGGGTTTAATTTTCTGGAGAATCAATATTAATGATTTAAATGTTAGATTCTCAACATGCATGTGTTATTGTCTTATTGATAGTATAAAGTTTGCCACGACTTACATGGTCATATATTGATAGTATACAGATTTATGTATTACTTTTCTTAATTTTCTATGTAACAAAGGTAAAAGAATTCTTAATCAAATAAAATCAACTTGATTTTTGTGTGATTAAAACATATAAATTTTGAAAACTGGTCAGATCTAGCTTTACCTCAACGTATTTGGCGTTCAACCCGATGTTTTTGCATACAATAGTTCGTATAGCGTTTTTTAAAATGCACAAAAGGTTACTTTTGTGTTTGGCTATCAAACTATTTAGGTTTGAAATAATCAAGACCAAAAAATCAACACAAACAACTACTTAAATCTCTTTAATATTTGTAAATAACAAAATTTTGGAAAAATATGTCTATAGTGAAGAAAATCTATTTCTCTTCGCTCAGTTTTCACTCTTTTGTGAACTATTGTAACTTAAACTAGGATTAATTTTACCGTAATTCTCTCTAATGTAAGTATAACAAATGTATTTCTGTAGATTGAGTACCAAGATAACATATTCATCATGTAGCTGTTTAAATATGAATTAGACAACCAACCATACATGCATAATTTGTCTATTAATAGCAATCTGAAGACACATAAATACTACATAAACCCCAAAATTTAATTCGTGTGCATGTGATAATGTTCTAAACTTTTAATATGTTGTATACCATTGTATATAATAAGTGGTGTGGACAGAACAAAGATTTGCATCCACTAATCAAAGCAATCTACCAACATATCAATATCACAGAAAGTTGTATGAAGGCCAAAAATGATGCTTTCCGGATATTACTTTACAAATATATGATATTTTTAATTTGCTTGCATGCCATTTTCTGTAAAGATATGAGATAATATTCATAATCCTTGTATTATTATTGTAGCATGAAAACAAACATTTTGTGGGATTGGTAATAATTTGGAATATAGCAATAAAGAGTTGGTTGCATTTAACTTCCTGTCATTATTTCCAATGTTTTATGTTAAAAATATATATGTGGGTCCGTATAGTGGAGGGCTCCCACAAATAGTAAATGAACACGTGGAATATGGATCGTGATGTTTTCATATGATTCTCTAGCACTCAAGAAATAGACCATGTGGTTTGATTGAAAACCCAAAAATATATGAAAACAAGGTAAACTTACACCAGGTTTAAGAAGATATATGCCTTTGGATAATAGGAGCTGAATCTGGTTTGTTCGAACTTTTTAAGAGATGAAACCCAACACTTTTAAGACAGGTCTAAGAAATCTAGAAATAAAAAAAGTATTTGATGCTACACCATTCGCATAAATTAAATTATACAATTTTTTTTTGTTTTTGGTAAACATAAATTATACAAGAGACTCCATTGTCAAAGCTACTCATGTTTGTTTGATCGAAGTACAAGTCTAGTATATAAATTATACAATTTGTTTGATCGAAGCTACTCATGGCGTTACATTGGTTTACATTTTAGTGATAATTTTATCCCTATATATTAAGACCGATCTTCAACCTGCATAATTTAATTTAATCGACAATGGAGTCTCTTTAAAAGCCGATAACGTTCGGGAATCTCGTTATAGAGGGACTAGCTCTTGGTCAGGTTTTGAGGTTTAACTAACTACAAAAAAGACGTTTGGAAGTTGTGTATGGAAATGTTTCCACTAATAATTTACAATGTGCTCTTCACTAATTTCCTTATTAAATTATTCATCATTTATATATTGAGAGAAAACTCTCTAAAAGTGGACATACATGTATGATTTGGTATCCCACCTAGGGATATATAATAATTCATTGCGAATATCTCAACTAAATGTATTATTTTGATTGAAGAGTATATGTGTAAAATATAAAATAAAAGAACCAGTTGTAGGATCTAGTAAACCGAAAAATTCAACACTTCTATACATAATGTACATGAATTGTATAAAACTTCATTGAAACCAGCAGCATTCTACAAAGGAATGTTGAGAAAGGCAGAAAAAATTTGGCTAAGTGAAAAAAAGAGATTGGCTAAGTGAGGAACAAAATCATAACAACAAATATTATATTTAATCGAATATCATTTTCAACTATGGTTAGCATATATATATAAACAGCAAGATCCAAAGTAAATAAGAAAACAGAACTAGCAAGATTCTAGCATATTGTACATAAAAAAACATGAGAAGCACTAGCAATGTTCTCAGCTTAATAATAATCAAACGATTCACCTTAGTGCCTAGCACGCAAAATATAAATGCACCGCGTATGACGAAAATTTCCGATGATTAATTCCAATTAAATATATAAACCAACAACTATATATAATCTATATGCAAGTGGAAAAGAATTACTCAAAACATTTGATATTACAAAACTATACAATATCATATATTCGAAGAGAGGCCTAATAGGAGGAAATTACCAAAATGTCCTCCTACGGCAAACTCGACGAGCATGAGCAAGCGAAACTAGAGGCAAGTCGGAGGAGAAAGAAGAGAATCGCCATTATCGCTATATCTTCCATCGTTCTTGTCTGCATAGTCGTTGGAGCCGTTGTCGGAACCTCAGCTCACGGTAACGGCAAGAAATTGCCGTCCACCGTGAGTGACGGAGATGGAGACATCTCTGTCTCGGTGAAAGCCGTGTGCGACGTGACATTGCACAGAGAAAAATGTTTTGAGACCGTTGGATCGGCTCCAAACGCAAGCCGGTTAAACCCTGAAGAGCTTTTCGAGTACGCCGTCAAAATCACAATCACCGAGCTCACAAAAGTCCTCACCGGATTCTCCACCAGCGAACACATGGATAACGCCACGTCAGCTGCAATGGGGGCTTGCGTTGAGCTTATCGGTTTAGCGGTTGACCAATTAAACTCAACGATGACGTCAAAGAATATCGATGATCTCAGGACGTGGCTTAGCTCCGTGGAAACGTACCAAGAAACGTGCATGGAAGCGTTGATCGAAGCGAACAATGCAAGTTTGACGACTTTCGGAGAAACTCATTTGAAAAACTCTACGGAGATGACTAGCAACGCGTTAGCAATCATAACGTGGCTAGGAAAAATCGTGGACTCGGTCAAGTTGAGACGACGTTTGTTGGCGACTACCGCAGATTTGCCAATGATGGATGGTCGGAAACTATTGGAGAGTAGTGGGTTGAAGAAGATAGCGAACATCGTGGTGGCAAAAGATGGATCGGGGAAGTATAGGACGATAAGTGAGGCTTTGATGGAAGTGAAGGAGAAGAATGAGAAGCGTACGATTATATATGTGAAGAAAGGAGTTTATTTGGAGAATGTTAGAGTTGAGAAGACGAAATGGAATGTTGTGATGGTTGGAGATGGACAAAGTAAGACTATTGTCTCTGCTGGACTTAACTTCATCGATGGAACTCCAACGTTCCACACCGCCACATTTGGTAAGTACATGCATATGCATTTATTTTTAAAGTTTTGTATATGCGTTTACATGCCAAAACGCTGAATTGTACGTTTTTTAAGAGTAGAAGATTTTAATCTTTTCAATCAAATACTTTTGTAAATTGTAAACGCAAACATAGGTTATTTGTGTTTGCAATTTTTCTTTTAAAAAGTTGATTAAAAGCACTAAAAATAGACTAGAGCTGGAGTATTAAATTTTATATTATTGGACTATATATGTGAACATAATGTGTTTTAGTAGCTAATTTCTATTATTTATTTCTTTGTATTTGTATAGCTGTGTTTGGAAAAGGGTTCATGGCCAGGGACATGGGCTTCCACAACACCGCTGGTCCAGCCAAGCATCAAGCCGTAGCTCTAATGGCGAGTGCAGACTTCGCCGTGTTCTATAAATGCACCATGGATGCTTTCCAAGACACGCTCTACGCGCATGCACAACGTCAGTTTTATCGCGATTGTGACATCCTTGGAACGGTTGATTTTATATTCGGAAACGCTGCTGTTGTCTTCCAAAATTGCAACATCTTGCCTCGTCGTCCTATGAAAGGCCAGCAAAACACCATAACCGCTCAGGGAAAGAAAGATCCGAACCAAAACACAGGAATTTCTATCCACAATTGTCAAATCTTGCCTTTGGACAACCTAACCGGTATCAAAACGTTCCTTGGCCGGCCTTGGAAGGAATTCTCCACAACTGTGATCATGAAGTCGTTCATGGACGGGTTCATCGACCCTAAAGGGTGGTTACCGTGGACAGGAGACACTGCACCGGACACAATCTTTTACGCGGAGCACTTGAATTCGGGGCCAGGAGCCTCGACAAAGGACCGGGTTAAGTGGAGAGGGTTGAGGACGTTTTTAACAAAGAATGTAGCCAATAAGTTTACAGTGAAGCCTTTTATCGATGGCAATAAGTGGTTGCCCACGACCAAAGTTCCGTTCAAATCTGATCTTTGA